CCGGTTGGCGGTTGTCGGTTGAAACCTGATCCCTGTCCGGCTTCTGCAGTTTTTGTATTCCCACCCGAGGCTGGATTGTATCCCTCTAAGCAAGTACGTGTCAGCTGTTCGTGTTTGATGGTCAAATATAAACTACTCGTAGCATAAATGGAGAAGTCGATGGATTGAAGCACCAAACACAGTAGTTGCAGATTGTTTGCAACGTAACGCGTTGATTACAAGTAGCAGAAGCCAGTGCAGAAGCCAGATTCTTACACCCCATTGAGTGTAAAGCTGAATTTCTCTTCATTTCCTTCATGTTTAGTACCTATTTCCATTGAGTTCTTGTTTTACTAACTGGTTCGTTCATTTTTTCTCTCGGTGTTCACCGCTGTTCGCATCCAGGAGGGCCCTCGTGAGGCGGAACTGGTGAGCTTTGATCAGCTGGTGTGGGATCATCCGCCCAACGCCCTTTGGCCGGAGGGAGAAGCCCCGAATCGACCTGTTTTGTGGGAGATTTTCCCACCAGAAGTCATGTGGAGGGCACATTGATGTAAGATGTCCCTGAATTGCTAGAGGATGCAGGTCGACGTCATGCCCAAAGTCGATCCCGTTGAGCAGTTGAGGCCTCCTTCCGTGGTGCTTGGACGCGCTGCTTGTGAGAAAATGGGGTGCGATGCAGCCAGCCACAAGCAGAGGGAGTTGCAGATGAAGCGATGAAGTGTCGACCAGGTTTATCGAATTGTTTCCGACCGTTTCGGCGTCGAGGAGCAAACGGAAACATTAGGAAACAACGTTTTGGAGTCAGTTTTATATAGATGCTGAACAATTGGTGGTTCAGGACCAAAAAGTCTTGCTGGCCGTTGCCGGGGGCGTGGCTGCAGTGGGTCTGCTGGCACACCTGGCACTTTCACTCGAGATGCAGTGATCACCATGTTTTGCTGCCAAGTGAAGATCAAGATCTCACAGACATGGAGACGAGACCCATGAACCATGCTCATAGAAAATGGGAACCAGCATCAAACAAGCACAGCAAGGATGTGCCTGGTCGAGTTTGTTGGATGCAGGATGAGCCGCCAAGGCGGTTGTTAAGGCGGTGATCACCGCTTTCGCGGCCAGGTCTTGGCGTCTGGCAAAGCCTCTGGAAGCTCGAAGCCCCGCAAGGAGCTGCCAGGAAACTCTATAAACCCCATCGAAATAGGATTTCACACCATTTATCATCCATACCAAAAAGAAACGATCCCAAACATGGACGCTCCTTGGAGGGACTGGGCCATTTTGCAAGAATGACGACCCCCGGAACCTCAACATGCGAAGCTGAAGCGGAACCTGAAGGGCTGAAGGCGCCGAGAGCAACCAACCAGCCCGCAGACCAACATAGAGCAACCAGCATGCCAACCGGGCAAGAGGCCAACCCACAAACCATATACTGCCCCATGCATATACCTTACCCAACCCAAGCGCAGTGGCCACAGCTTTTACATGGAAGATGTGCTTGTCACGCCATGACTCCCGGCACCGACCGGGAGAGCTGGCCCAAGGAGAAGTTGGCGCTTGACTCCAAGGAGAGCTTGCTGCAGACCCTCCAAGAGCTGTCCAGCCAACAGGTGCGCCTGCAGGGGGGATCAGCGGCATCAGCGTCTCTCATGTGTTGGGCATCAGCAGAGAGTCTAGGAGCGGGGGTTCCAGGTCCGGGAGTGTAGATGAGGACCACGTACACAAAGTGGGCTTCAGAAAGTGATCAGCCAGCAAGCAAGACATTGTCTCTGTAAAGCTTGCAAAACCGCCGATGCCGCAGCCAGAAAAAGCTCAAGGCCGCCAGTCACAGTTGCGCCATGATCAGTCTCCTCCGGCCTTTGGTGCCCTTGGGGCGGGTTTTGCAGCGGGTTTGCGGGTATGCAAGGTTCACCAGCGCAAGGCCGAGCGAGCGGTTGCCGAGCGATGTCGACTGCACAATGTGGGAGGATATTCCAGGCATATGAGGTGGGTTTGGATTGGGATTTGAAAAGATTTGAAGAGATGACATTCAGCTGAGAAGAGAAGAATCTATATACTGTATGGTGAAATGATAGATTGACGGTTTAAAGCCTACTTTGGCCCTTTATATATAAATGGTACCCCCCCCGCGAAACATAATCCCAGAAAAGCCAGAACACATTCTCTCAGGGAAAAACATGAGAGAGAGAGAGAGAGAGAGACTAACGCAACTCTCCACTCCTTGAGAAAGATGTGCCGTGATTACAAAACAGGTCCACACGCTGACAGACACACGCAGTCTACATGATGAGCTGCAGAACAACACCGGCCTGAACTGAACTCTGCAATTTGAAACCTGAAGTCACGATCGCTGCTGCAATTCGGCTGCGTGGCTCCCCAACCAAAAAACTCGAGTGTAAAGCAGCAGCCGTTCGCAAAAACTGGCACGGCGTATGGCGTTTCTCTTTTTTCCCTCGGTGACCGTGTTCGGTTTTGGGCGGCGCCCAGTGCGAAGCTCACGGGTTCCTCGCCGTGCAGTATCCAAGAGGCCAAGCAGGTGGCGAATTTGTGCCCCGCGCCGTCCGTGACAGTCCCAGACACCGAAGAACGGTGGAATGCGGGGGAGGTTTGGTGCAGAGATCCCAACGTTGCGTCCACAACCAGCTTCTTCAGGTCGTTTGCCCGAACTTTGGAGTACCATCCAGTGACTTTTTACAGGCCTACAGGTCTGTTAGTGATCTCCAACCAGGGATCAAGTTGGGCTACTTGGAAGACTGGGATGAAGGAGTTACCCTGGAAAAGGTGCCATTCGTATCCAAAGTGGGCATCATCATCAATGTTAGTTAGGGCTGGGATCAAATCAACCAAGCAGCCAAGCAGTATTTAGTATCCAAGTTCTTGCGAAACAAGCCATTTCTCAGAGATCTAAGCGCCCAGATTGGAGGAACTGGCTCTCCCTCAGTTAGGCGGTTTGGACCAATGGCAGAATTGAGTGATAAGTGCTCATTTGGGAGATTTTACCATCAAAAGCAAACAAGTGAAGCTTCGTGCTGCATGCTTCGCACCCAGCTCCACAGACAGCCAGGAAGGCAGCGCAACTGTGTTGCATGATGAAGATCGTTTCGACCCGCAGACGATGTCCATGGGAGGTACGACACGTGGGGTACTGACTATGACGACGACGCTCCTTGCCGAAGACTGGGCCTGCAAACCCACAGGGGGTGAAGAAGATGGGGCCACGTGGCAGTCTGAATGATCAGGCAGTCATCTCAACCAATTGACCATCACACTCATCAGCGAGAGATGGGATTGAATCTATTTATAGTTGTAGAGCCGCCATTTCAAGCGCCCGTGTTGTTTGATGTTTGGGGTATTTGCTTCAGATGAAGACTGAAATCAGCTTCAGGGTGACAGTACAGCTTGGCATGAAGGAAGCTTATGATTCTTTATCGAATCAAATCCAGCACAACCATGCAAGATCAGTTCCAAGAGATGGAGACGGACAGAGAAAGAAAATCCAGAGCCCGAGTTACTGTACCTAGGTGTAGTTGGTGAAGGATAGCATTGAAGGTGAACTAAGCTGCTGTGAGCATGTGAACATCTGGGCATTAGTTGCAGTAAGTTGTGCAACCACGGCTATCTGGAGTTTGCCCCAAAACTTTACTTTGATTCCCTCTGAGTTCCAGATGGCTTTATTGCTCTCTATACTAAGGTTCACAAGTGGGGCTACCAACTACCAGAACTGGCTGTGAATTATGCGAGAGAGACAGTCGGTCAGAAAGTCTTCGAGGCAGGTCTGAAGATTTTACTCGAGATTAACTGGACTACATGAAAATAAGATGAAAGTGGGACAGACAGACCTACAGGTCCTCTTCCCGCAGGCCCTGATTGCACGCTGTGAGAGAATGGTGTTCTTTGCGCACAGGGTGCCTACCCCCTGAGTTTTGGAGTTTCTTTTTCCGTTCTTTAAAGCATGTGATTTCAAGGGGGTTTTCTATTGTGCGCATCATGATCCTGTTCGTGTGAGTGCAGACCGGAGCGCGTGACCTGACCCGTGTGGGAGCAGAAACGACTGTGTGGAGCGAACGGAGCACGGGACACCAAGTGGCAGTGTATTTCCATGTATTTCCATGCATTTCCAATGAATGGGTTTCGGTCTATTTTTGGTCTATTTCCCTTCTTCCAGGGGGTCTTGGAAGTAAGAGTCGTTTTACCATCCCTTGCTCGGAGTACTGGAACTCTCACCTTCACCTTCAAATGACCAGTAACTCGAATTCCCCCCAACGGCCCCGAAGTTCGCTCTCAACTCGCTGAATCTTCGTCTGTCTCATCGGCTCACCCGCACATGCCTTTCTTTTTGCTGGACACGCCTGGAGCCGTGACCCGCGTCGAACGACGCCCGAACTGTGAGGGAGCACGACTGCTGGATGCCGGTGCCGGTACTGGGCTTCTGGCCCACTGCCTCAAGGAGAGACACCGACTGCGCGGCACGCGCATCGATCCGCGTGGCGCATGGCGCGTGGCGCATGGCGCGGGTCACGGGGGGGCGCCGTTGGCTGTCGCTGGATTGGACCGAATATAATTCACGAATGCCATAGGCCCATAGGTCATAAATACTGTGAAATGGAACATGTTGACCTGGCAGAATCCTCACTCCATGCGGTTGCCCCTTCAATCCGTCCAGCAGGTTTGACTGTCACACAGGCATGAACGATCGCCTGTGGCTCAAGATGCAGGCTCAAAAGGACGCGCAGCTTTTGAGACCTTTTCACGTGTGGGTGTCACGACTTTTCATATTGGCACCGGAGCTTAGCACTCCCCAGGGACCCTTCGGTAGACCCACTGTTTTCCGTTTGGGGGCACCTTCTGTTTTTAGCCTTTGCGTCGGGGCGTGATGGCGGCGCTCGAATGCCTTCGATGGCATCGGTTCCAGGAGGCTGAGAACCTCATGAGTGGGACAGAAGGCAAAGGTGTTCCAAAGTTCGATGGATCACCAGCTGCCTTGCAGGAGTACGCCTTTAGAGTTCGCCTTCGAGCTGCTCGCGACGCGGCTTTGGACCCGGCAGAGCTCAAGAAGCAAGGACCGTTGGGATTGCGCCTAGTTGATGGCTTGACAGGTGCAGCCATCCAAGTGGTCCGAGAGATCGAGCTCACGAAGTTGGCTGGTGAAAATGGTCATGAAGTTTTGCTTCAGCACCTCTACCAGGCCTTTCGACCACGACGACAACAAGAAGCTCGTGAACTCTATGCCGCAGGAGCTCAAGTCCATGGCCCCTTGAGCAGGCAATACGGAGAGCCGATGACCCCCTATCTCCTCAGGAGGCGGACCTGGTACAAGATGCTTTGTGATCTTGACGACAAGCTCGCCTTGCCAGAGGCCATCCTCTCGGAGCAGGTCCTGATGTCGGCTGGCATCTCAACGGATCACCAGCTGTTGATCCGCACGGCTCTTGGAGGCGACATGACGGTTGTCAAGGTATGCAATGAACTCATTGCTCAACATCCTCAAGTTCATGAAGGAGAAGTTCGCCACCGTCATGAGCAAGAGCGCTACTCCAGCAAGTTCGGCCGTGGAAAAGGAAAGTCCCGATCCTACCACACATGGTCGACGCCCTTCCAGCAGCAGAGCTATGTGGCTGAAGAAGCTTGGGACGAAGGATCCCAATCCCTTGGCGGCTTCGAAGAGTATGAACAGCCCTCAGCATCGTTCTACACTGGTGCAACTGAGGACTGGGAGTTTGAATCCACAGCTGAGGAGGCCGACTTCGCCTTGGAGTCCTATGCGGCCCTGGTTGAAGAAGGTTTGGATGAAAGCAACTCAGAAGCTGTGGACTACGCCATCGAGGTGATCCAGCTTGAAGCAGAAGCCATGTTCCTTCACAACAAGGCCCAGAGTCAGGGGCACACTGGCTTCTCCGGTGGCAAGAGCAATCGCCATTGGAACAAGGGCAAGGGCAAGAGCTCCAACAACCCTGAGCGTCGAAGAGCGCTTGAAGAGTTGAAGAAGAAGACCACATGTCGTCGCTGTGGCCAGATGGGTCATTGGAGCACTGACTATGTCTGCCCGAAGCATCCTGGAAGCAAGACCGGCAAGGGTGGCAAGTCACCCACCGCTATGACCGGCACTACGACAGCCACGACAGCTACTGGGGGCAAGAAAGGCTCGAAGGGAGCCAAACCACGTGTCGTGTACTTCACCGTTGCTGAGTATGAGGACCGTGAACGAGTTTGGCAGTGTTCCACCTCCGTCATCTCTGCACTCAGGTGTTCTTCATGGAGCGTCAACCGAGCTCACAGCGGATCAGATGCTGGATCTCGCAATCCAGCAGGCACGTGTGCAGCAGCAGCAACAGGCCCAACGTTTGACTGACGGCCACAATCAGCCTATCCCAGAAGATGTCGACTGGGAAGCACAAGAGCTCGCATTGCAAGGCCAAGGAGATGCTGCTTCAGTGGTCAGCACTTCATCATGGTCTATGCCTTCGGTGTCGGGCTTAGCACCCTCAGCGCCGAGTATGTCATCGTTTGTGGGTATGAACGTGCCAGCAAGTATGACCGGATTGCCAAGTATGACTTCCCCTTCAGGCTATGAGTATCATCTTCCTGAAGTTCCTCCGCTACCATTTGCAGAGCAACCTGATCCTCAGCCTGGAAGTCCGCAAGCACGGACCGCTGCAATGCTGCGAGATGGAGATCCTGACCAGATGAGCAGATTCACTATGAACCCTCCTGCTCAAGAGACAAGTTTGAAGCAGAGATCTTGCCATCATCCCAATCGCACCAAGGCTGGCTCCAACGCCTATCAGAGCATCATCCGATGCAAGGACTGCGGCTACATCCTCCACCTCGAGAAGAAGAATGCTGCCAAGAGCATGGAAACAAAAGAAGTGACTTCTTGCACTCATGCTCGCAAGAGCTACCAAGGCACCACAGCCACGACTTGGCGCTGGCGATGCATGGATTGCGGAGAGACCGCAACTGGATTCAAGAATCCTGGTGAGACTGGTGCCAAGGCAGCTGACATTGCACCTCTTCGAGTTGGAGCTGTCGCAGATTGGTATTTGGATGATCCACCATCCAAGGTGCTTGAGTTGATGACCTTGACCATCAGCATCCAGAGGCAGACTCACAATGTGGTCACGGGGGACGACTTGGACGTGATCTACCGTCGCTGCAAAGACATGATCTATGGGGCACCAACAGTCCCGAAGGCTTCAACGGCAGCGGCATTACCTCATGTTCTGTCCACGCCACCGAGGCCTATGTCAGCTCAGGAGTTCCACACTCCGAACACAAGAGGATCTGCCAGTTCGGCGCCCTCGACACCGGGTGATCCAACTTTGGGACCACGTGATGTTTTGGTTCAAGATATCGAAGCATGGGATGCTGAGAAAATGACGACTGGTCAGCATAAAGGCAAGACCTTCCGCATGATCGCTGAGACGGAACACTCCTATGGCACTTACCTGCTTGGCCAAGTCAAGGCCAACAAGATCAAGAACCCGCAGCTCCTTGAGTATGTCAGGTACATCAAGGTGAGAGGCCAAGCGGCCATGATGGCACTCCATGGCCATGCCTCAGGAGAAGACAAGCTCCTCTGCATCCTTGACACGGGATGCAATAGCACTTGCCACGGTGCTGGATGGATCAAGGACTACATGCGGCTGACTGGACAGCACTTTGAGCTGTTGCCTCATGAAGGTCGAGTCCGTGGAGTTGGAGGCAATGTGCAAGTGGTTGGACTTCGTCGCATTCCAGTTCTCTTTGCACTCAAGAACGGAGACATTGCTTCTGGCACCATCACATCCACTGAGCTCTCTGGAAGCGAAGCACCTCTTTTGCTCAGCGCCCGAGCTCAGAAGGCACTTGGCTTGGTGATTGACACCGAGGAGCACACCGTCTACAGCAAGCGCATGAATCAGTACCTGGAGTTGGTTGACCGCGATGGCCTTCCTGCGATTCGTCTCATTCCCTCCACAGAAGATGAGACAGACATTGCGCTCCAGGCAGAGATTTTCTCAGCCCAAGAAGAAGACAGTGTGGACATGAGCTCAAACGCCACTGACGCTACTTCGCCTAGCAGTACCTCATCATTGTCGAGCCCTATGACGTCCAACTGCACTTCGTCTCAGAAGAGCGCTACGATGGACACCTCAAGCCAGGAAAGCCGACTTGCGATTGAAGAGGAAGACACGCTGAGCTATGTCAACCTGGCAGAGTCTCCTCGCAAAGTCATGACTCGAGGACAGCGAAAGATGATGACTGAATCCACGGAAGCTGTGCATAAGGAAGACCTTGCACTATGGGGCACGCTTCGTCATCATCAAGGTCTACGGCGACCTGGAAGACTCTTACCATCTGGATGTCGATGCTTCCTGACGGAACTGTTTGCTGGAGCGGCCATTTTGACCACCATGGCTGCAGCTTGGGGCCTTCCCGTTGGACGACCCATCGATGTCTGCTATGATCCTGGTCATGATCTGCTGAAGCCCTCCAATCGTCAGGTGATTGGCGACTACATCGACTACATGGATCCCTTCATCCTGATCGCAGGGCCAAAGTGTGGACCTTGGTCACCCTGGCAGAACATCAATGTCAGCAAGAGTCAGGAGCTCGAGAACTATGTGATGGAAGAGCGACAGAGATGGTATCCAGTGTTCAGGTGGCTCATTGACATCTTCAAGTCTCGCTTGAGAAAAGGGCGGCGCGTGATGATGGAACATCCCTGGACCAGTGCGGCTTGGGGAATCAAGTGTCTCGAAGATTTTCTGGCTTCGAATCCTTTCCATGAGGAGACTAACGAGCCCGTTGAGGTAGTGAAGATAGATCAATGTCAGTATGGCCTTCGTGATGTTCAGAATGGACTGCCTCACAAGAAGAGCACTGGGCTGATGCTTTCATCGCACTTCATGAAGAAGAGACTCAACAAGCAATGCGATGGATCTCACGAGCATCAGCAGTTGGAAGGCAGCAATCGCACACGCCTTGCACAACAATGGCCAAAAGAGCTTTGTCATGCCATTTTGTCCGGCGCCTATGAAGAGTTGCTCTATGGAACCCTTCATCAAGCCTTTCCTGTGGAGGAGGTCTTTGAGAGACACGAAGAGATGGGCGACATGGACGGCATTCATTCAGAACAAGACCTGGCACCTTTGGTCAAGAAGCGTCGAATCGATGAACCCGAACTTCAACGTGAAGAAATGCTTTTGGAGCAATCAGCGCATGAGACCAAAGAGGACCGCCTGGTGATGGAACAAGAAGAGAAGAGGCGGCGAGGCTGGCTCACCCTTCCAAGAGAAAAGCGGTTAGCTGTTCGACGTCTTCACACCATGACTGGACACTGCTCAAATGCTGCTTTGATGAGAATGCTGGTGGCATCTACAGCAGACAAGGATGTCATCGATGCAGTGAAGTTCTTTCAATGTCAGGTGTGCAAGGAGACGGAGAAAGATCAGCATCCGCGTGTGACAAAGGAGACAAGGCCATCTTCGCAGATGCACTTCAACTATGAGCTTTCGGCGGATGTCTTTGAGATCCATGACAGTGAGCATCACCGCCACTCCATCCTGTCATTGGTGGATC